GGAAGTTTCCTTCCAGTTGTGGCATGCTATGCTGTATAGGGGGAGGAGCACAAAGGGGAACTGCTGTGGTCTGAGTGTGTCCCACAAAATCTATATGTTGAAACTTAATAGTATTAAGAGATGAGGCCTTTAGGAAATGATTAAGTCATGAGTGCATAGCCCTCATGGATGGTATTAAGGCTCTTAAAAAAGGGGGGGGAGGCAGTACATGGATTCCTTTTCTTCTCTTCTGCCATGAGGGAATGGTTCCTTCTTTTCTGGTCTTCTTCCATGTGAGAACACAGTGTTTGTCCACCCTTTGCCCTTTCATCCCTTCTATCATATGAAGTCACAGCATTCAAGGCACCATCTTGGAAGCAGAGACTTGGCCTTCACCAGACACTGAACCTGGTGGTGCCTTGATCTTAGACTTCCAGCCTCCAAACTGTGAGAAATAAATCAATGTTACTTATAAATTACCCAGTCTCGAGTTTTGTTATAGCAGCACAAACAGGCAAGCGTGTCAAACACTATCAATTTTCCCACGCCTTTCTCTGGAATCCCTTCTTGGTTTTATAATGGCTTGGGTGCTGTAGCTTCTCAACTGAATTCTCACAGAGGTGTCCTGGTCCATATATGCCTCCAAACTGTGAGAAATAAATCAATGTTACTTATAAATTACCCAGTCTCGAGTTTTGTTGTAGCAGCACAAACAGGCAAGCGTGTCAAACACTATCAATTTTCCCACGCCTTTCTCTGGAATCCCTTCTTGGTTTTATAATGGCTCGGGTGCTGTAGCTTCTCAACTGAATTCTCACAGAGGTGTCCTGGTCCATATATTGTTATTAACTCCGTGTCTCTGTGAGGGAGGAAGCACCTGTAGTTTCTTAGTCCACCATCTTGCTGATGTCACTCTGCAATATATTTTGATGTGGGCACTGCAGCTGCTCTGCAGTCAAAGCTCTGGAGATGGTGGAGTCATTTCTGCACTGCAGTGGATTTTTGGAGATTGGCAGAAACTCTAGTGCTTTTCCCAGAAACCTCCCTAGAGATACCATCTATGAGAGCTGAACACCACCTCCCAGTCAAGTGGCTCCCTCCTGCCCCTGGTGGCCCCTGATCATCCTAGCGCACAGCAGATAGCCCTTGCTAGATGCTGCCTCCCCAAGATTCATCTTCTCTAAGTGAGCTGCTCACCCTCTCTCCACAGTGCTCCGACCCACAGAAGCTGCTCCATATTGCCCAGGAGCTCCTGCACACTGAGGAGACCTATGTGAGGCGGCTGCACCTGCTGGACCAGGTAGCCCACATGGCCCAGGGCCTGCCTTTGTTCACTTCCAGAATTTCAGTGGGCAATTTCAGAGTCTCCCTATTTCTTAGCATTGGTTGAGCATAGGGTTGGAGTACAAATGACTTAAATACTAAAACTCAGACAAAGTTAATTCTGGTCTAGAAACATTTTTTGCTTTCAGTGCTTTTGGCTCTGGAAAAAAAGGTTTGTCCAGTCAACTTTTAGATACTTCTTTTTGGCAATTGCATTATTGGAGCATGCAAGTGGCTTCTGCATAAACAGTTGGGACAGTGAGTGCCACTCATACCTGTCTACATGGCAACATGGGGCTGGTGAGCACAGGAAATAAAGTGCCAGTGGAAACCAGAGTTTTGATCGAACATGTTGCTTCTGTTTGTATCTTGCAAGCCAGAGAAGACAATATGGACCTTCCATTTCCCATGAAAGGTGGCTGAGGAAAGATGTCCTGCCCCTGTCCTCAAGGAACTGTTCCTCCCTCACCCACAATCCTCAGCCATAAGTAATCTTGCACTTAGAACAGGAGGTTGTGTGAACCAGTTTGATAAAAAGGAGGGACAAGGACTCTGAAGTTCATTAGGAAAAGACACGGTGGAAGCAGCCCCTCCCGAGTGCCCAGACCTGTGGCAGATGCCAGATTAGAACTGTTTGTGGTGAACAACACTCAGTGGTTGTTGTGGGCCTCTCTGTGCCCAGGTTTTCTGCACCAGGCTGATGGAAGCAGGGATCCCTGCAGAAGTCACCACAGGCATCTTCTCTAACATCTCCTCCATCCACCGTTTCCACGGGCAGTTCCTGCTGCCTGAGCTGCAGACGCGGATCACAGAGGAGTGGTGAGTAGCATTCATGGCCACGTGGGGCGCCTCGGGTGGCCGCTAACTCTGGGGCTCACATGCCTGAAAGCCAGGCAGGCACTCGGTGGGCTCTCAGGTGGCTGGGGAGCCTCCTTTCTCTGCCTAGTCCTTGGTCACATCCCGACCCCACCCCTTCCTGGCTGGGGACCTTGACTGGCCACTTAATGTCTCCATGCCTTCATTTCTGAGGAAGCAGATGACGTAGAACTGAGGGATTTTAACACCACACCCAGGGCTCTGTGGGATTTAAGCGAAGCAGCAAACAGTGAATCAGTAGTGTTCGGTCGTTTTATTTTCCCTCCTAACATAGAATCCACCTTTGCTTTAAAAAATGAGACTTTCTTCCCCTCAACAGTGGACGCCAGATCCTCTCCTGCCGTCCTTGTGGTCTGTCCTGTCCCTCTGCCGCTTCTGTACCTTGTTAGCAGAGAGACAGCTTGGCTGCAAGTCACAATCAGGAAACCATCACAGGCGTGGCGCCCGGGCTCTCCCGTTCCCTGCATTCCGTGTCCCCCTCCATTCTTGTGCTCCACTGCAGCTTTGTATCAGGGCCTCTGCTGTCTGCCCCCTTCACAGGCCCGGCTTCCCTGCCACAGCAGGAGCCTGGCCCTTAGTGTCCCACAAACCCATTCTCCAGGCTTCAGTCCCAGAGACCACAGGGCCAGGGAGCTTGACTGGGGAAGTCTTTTTATCTGTGGCCCAGGGAGGGGCTGGGTCGATTCGTACATCTTTAGAAAGACATGGTCCAGCTGCAGAGCATGTGGGATTTAAGCGAAGTCCCCAAGGTGATCAGCACTGTGTCCCCAAGGTGGTCAGGGCTACATGTGACCTTCTGGCTGACAAGTCCACGCCTGGTAGAGACGGGTTTTCTCCTTCAAGGCACTACAGTCTGTTAATCCACAAACACACATGTGGCCTCCTCGGCGCCTTTTATAAAAGTGGCACAGGAGTCCAGTGACTCACCCACCCTGCCCAGTTGGTGAGCCTTTAAATTAAATCCACATGTGCACTTTGGTAGCAATGCTCAGTGATGGCTTTGTCTGTGGCTTTTCTCTCTTTTTTTGCTTATTTACTTGAGACAAATCTCCAACAGTTCTAAGGTCAAAGACGATCAATGTATTTTTCTGCTTCTTGAAACTCGTCTGCACATCCCTGTCCGAAGCAGCAGTTGGGTTTTATTGTCAGTCCTGCAAAGTGCTCGTTTCCCTGTGACTTCGCCAGCATTGGATACAAGCTTCATTTTTCATCTTTGCTCTTTTGAAAGGACCACAGTGGTATTTCACTGATCCTCTGTAATAACTGTGGCCCATCGTTTGAGCGTTTCTACGACTGCGAATGCCTCCTGTGTTGGGGGCACTGGTTCTAAACCTGCACCATTGAAGTCTTTTATAGGCATCGTTTCATTTAATCTCTTAGTAACACACTCTTCTAACCCAAATGTAAAGGGCAGGAAACGAAGGCCCAGAGGGTGACTGATTTTCACACCATCACACAGAGCTGGAAGTCAGGCCGCTGCCCTCTGCCGCCATCCTGTAGGCCCCTGGTGAAGTTCATGTCCACTCACCTCAGTGCTCCCTCCTGCTCCCCCCGGGCCATTTCTCTGATGATCTCATGCCCCCACAAAGGGACACGAACCCCCGGCTTGGGGACATCCTGCAGAAGCTGGCCCCATTCCTGAAGATGTACGGCGAGTACGTCAAGAACTTCGACAGGGCCGTAGGGCTGGTGAGCACGTGGACTGGGCGCTCGCTGCTGTTTAAAGACGTCGTCCACAGCATCCAGGTAGGGAAGGCTGCAGGCGCGCAGCACAAGCGTCCTCCAGGGGCACGGGGCCGAGTGTGGATTTTTTAAAAAACATGTATGTTTTTTTTACTCCAAAAAGTAGTATATGGAACACAGCAAAAATTAGTAAAATTATGGAATGTGTTCAGATGCTCTATTGATGCTTTGATCCTTACAGTGACTCCCGGGGCCAAGTCATCATTTGCATTTCATGGATGGGAAAATCGTGGTTCCACAAGCCGTGCAGTTGACAGCATCATGGATTGTCACTTACAGAACCTGGATTCAAAGGGGTCTCTGGCTCCACAGTGTCCCTCAATAGCCAGGGCAGGCATTTAAAAAGTGCAGTACTGATCTTTCCTCTCTCTGTTTCTGCAGACAGCCTGTCCCTAGTCCTCGCTGTTCTTTCCCTGGTGCTGTTGGCCTTTTCTTATCGTAGGTTTATATAGGTTAAGAACTTCAACCATCTTCTGTCATAATGTCACAAGTATTTTTCCCATTGACCTTTTATTTTTTAAGTTTATGATGTTGTTTGCCATACAGAATTTGGGGTTTTTTAAGAGCTGTGTTCAACAATTCTTTTTAAAAGGTGAAATTTTTTAAAAAGGCTTTAAAATAATGCTTATGAATGCATTTCCAAGATTATATAAAGTATGTTTTTTCCTTAACTTTATGGCTTCATTTAAAAAATTTTAAAAGCTACTCCAGAATAGTTTCCAGATGGCTTGTGGTAAGCATCCAGTTTTATAGTCAGCTGCTTGTCCCAACGCAACTAGTGACCCCACGTGTGTGCACACGCACGTTCACACACCCGCACATGCTCACGCACTCTCCTGCCCTGCCCCCTTACCCTGGAGGGCTTCTGGAGCCTGGGCACTCTCTGTGCTGGGGGTATAGAGGCTGGGCCTGGATTTGGGGCCACCCCTTATAACTTTCTGCATTTTCCTGAGACCTTACCGATTGTCACCAGGTCACCCATGGTTTCCTAGTGCCAAAGTCTTAGGTCCCCCGAGTCCTTAAATTGTCTTCGACTCAGTATCAGCATCAGGTCTCAGAGAGGAGAGTCAAGTCCTCACACCGAGTCCTTTCTTCTCCCCTTTTGCCTGCCCATGTCCTCGCCCCGCTGTGTGCGTCTCAGGCCTTCACGGCTGGCCCCATCCCAGCTGTCCCCACAGAACAGTAGCCTCCCACCTCCCCAAGCAGCACCTTTGCTCACCCTGCAGATCCCTCCCTGGGCGTGGTGAAACGGGTTCTTGCCGGGCACAGTCTGCTGTCCCTCATCCACACCTGAAAGACCAGGTTCTTGGGTCTGGTATGCCCTTAGGTGACTAGACATTTTCAGGATTGGGATGACAGACGATGTCCACAGCAGCCACACCAGTGCTGTTGTCCCAGGCGGCGTCTGCCTGGGGATACTCACGGGCAGTGTTGGCCTGTGGTCAAAGCCCAGCGACTGGCCAGGGTGTCCCCCACACCCTGGGCAGACCTCGGGTGCTGGGCTGGGCAGCTGTGGGGAGGGGTCTACACCCCAGACTCAGCACACTTCAGCCATTCTCCACAGGCAACTTCACCCCCAGGGGCCCTGGGCGGTGTCTGCAGACGTTAGTGCTGCCGACGTTAATGCATGGAGCCCAGGGATGCCACCACACACCCTGCAGCACACAGGATGGCCCCACGACAGAGAATGCTCTGACCCAAACGTCCCTAGTGCCGAGGCTGAGAAGCCCCTGCATGGACAAAACAGATCACATGACAGTCAAGGCTCTCGTGGCTTTTGAAGGTTTGCTTTGTTCAATCCAAATTTTATTTTAATTCTTTAAATTTTATTTTGAGGGCCGGCCCGGTGGCACACTGGAGAGTGCGCCGCTTGGGAGTGCAGCAGCGCTCCCGCTGAGGGTTCGGATCCCATGTGGAGACCGGTTCCCGCTCACTGGCTGAGCGCGGTGCGGGCGCAACACCGAGGGTTGCGATCCCGTTGCCAGTCCCCGGTACGGGTGCGACACCAAGGGTTGCGATCCCGTTACCGGTCAGTAAAAAAGACAAAAAGGAAAAAAAAATTTATTTTGAAATAATTTCAAAGGTTTACAGGAAAGTTGCAAATAATGACAAATTGTTACAAACTGTTAACATTTTGTCTTGTTTTCTTTGCCATTCTCTCTAAACACATTCATATGATTATGATTTTTGAGCCTTTTGAGACTAAGCTGCAGACGCAGCAGCCCTTTCTCACTAAATGTGAACTCCCCTGGAGCCCGTGGCACAGCGACCAAAGTCAGGGAATTCTGTGTACTGTCTGCTCCACGGCACCCACTCAGACGTTGCCAGGTGTCCCCATAATATTCTTTTCTCTCTTTTCTTCTTGGTCATGACCCAACCCAGGACCACACGTTGCGTTCATTATCACGTTGTCTCCTTCCGTCTAGAAGAGGCCTCTGTCCTTGTCCTCCTGGGTGGTACAGGCCAGTTACTTGTAGACCGTCTCTCGGTTTGGTTCTGCCGGCTGTTCGTTCATGATTCAGTTCAGGCCGTGCCTTTGTGGAAATTTCACCGGAGTAAGGCTGTGTTCTCACCGCGTCCTGCCTGGTGGCACTCAGTTTCCATTTGTCCCATTTCTGGGGATGCTCACTTGATGAAAGATGTGTCTGTCAGGCCTGTCCACAGTGAAGTTAGGCTTTTGTCCCCTGTTATTAAGTGTCTTGTAGGAAGATACTTTGAGATTATGTAAATATGCTGTTCCTCATCACCTCTTGACGATTCTTGCCTAAAACAGTTGTTTATATGAAGGTTGCAAGCGAGGGCTTTTCCACCCCTGTTGTATCCAAGGCATTTTTGAGCTCATCTGAACCGGAGGCCATTCTCTTCTGGGCCCCAAGCCGGATGAGGGTGGCTGAGGCCGTCGAGTTGCTGGCAGGTGGGTGGGGAAGCAGGTGGACAGTACGTCAGAGGCAGCGGGCCCTCTGGGCCAAGACACTCTGCCAAGTGAGCATTGCTGGGGGAGAAGACAAGGAGGCACTGGCAGGAGGAGCCGAGCGGGGAGCACAGAGGTGACAGGGTGACACCTGTGGGGACACACGTACCTGGGGCTCGGTTAGGGGTAGAACAGGGACTGTGCTTCAGAGAGAGGCAGAGAGGTGTGGGGGAATTGGGGGCAGTACTGGGCCGGGGTGGAGCAGCATGGGCTGGGTCTCAGCACCCCACCTGCCCACCCAAACGTTCACTCCTGTGCTCACGATGAGACGAATCTGCAGAAGGAATCTCAGAGCAGCTTCAGGCCCACAGGTGAATGCCAGTGGGGAAAGGTCCCCCTTGAGGGGAAGAGTCAGTTTTGTCTGGGCATTAATTTTCTCCAGTGAGGGTGTGGATGAAAGAGTGAGCTCGGGCCTAGAGCAGCTCTCCCAGGGTTCCGATCTTTGCTCCATCATTCAGCCTCTCTGAGACTCAGTTTCCCCAGCTGGTCTGTACCAGCTGTGTCCAGAAGGGCAGTCAGCTCTGGGCAGGCTCCTGGGGCTGTGGTGGCCAGAAGCAAGGGATGGGGCCAGAATTCCACACTGACTCCTCGGCCTGACCCTTGCTGTCCCCTGTCCCCCACAGAAGCAAGAGGTGTGCGGGAACCTGACGCTGCAGCATCACATGCTGGAACCCGTGCAGAGGGTCCCCCGATATGAGCTGCTGCTCAGGGACTATCTGAAGAGGCTCCCGGGGGATGCCCCAGATCGGAAGGATGCAGAGAGTGAGCTGGGGTGGCCACAAGGCCAAGGGGTCCTGGGAGGGAGAAGGGAAACCTGCCGAGAACCCTGGGGGAGGCGGGAAGGGAGAGGCAGAGACACACAGAGACAAAGATACAGATAGAGACGAAGACAGAGGAGAAAGAGACGGACAGAGAGAGAGAGCCCCCTGAACAGCTCAGGAAGTGACTTAGTGTCTTTGAGGGCAGAGAAGAGTCTCCCGTGCTCAAAGTGTGACAGTGGATGTCAGTGCTGGGGAAGGCACTGCTACACACAGGCCCTGTCCAGGAATGGGCCTCATGGGGCTGGCTGGGGCCACTCCTGGTCCAAGGGCAGTGACAGTATGTCGGGCAGGCATCAGAGGGCAGGGGTCTGTGCAGGAAAGTGGGGGGCCCCCACCTGCTGTTGGCTCCAGCAGGCCCCCAGCGGACAGAGTGTGTCTACAGGGCCATGGGTTGTACCCTCTACACCTGGGCCAGGCCCATGGAGCAGCCCAGGCTCCTGCGGGAAAGGTCAAGAGAAGGATAGAACCTGCCACTGGAAGCAGCTGCCCCGGAGCTGCAGAGTCAGCCTCTTGGGGCGAGAACACGCAGCCCCACCACGAGGCCCCACGCTGACTCTCTGTCCTCCTGCAGGGTCTCTGGAGCTCATCTCCACAGCCGCCAACCACTCCAACGCTGCCATTCGGAAAATGGTGAGTGTGGGTGTCCCTCCAGGAGGGGACTGGCAAGGTGGTACAGGGAGGGTGAGGGCGGGTGAACCCTGTCAGCCAGCACCTTCACTGCTCTGTTCCCAGGTGGTCAAGGGCTCCTCCTGTGACTAGGCACACGCCTGCCCCTTACTATACTGTGATCCTTGGTGAATTGGTTAGCACTCTGTGCCTTAGTTTCCCCATCTGTAAAATGGGGACACTGACAGAACCTGTTTCATTGGGCTGTTGTGAGGATTAAAAGAATCACTCTACATAAAGTGCTCAGGACAAGACCTGGCATAAGTACGAGTTCTCAGTGTTGTCATTCATTCATTCATTCATTCATTCGCTCATTCACTTGAGCTGCATTAGTCTCTTTCATGGGCTGGCTCTGTGCATGCCCAGCCCCTAGTGCACACCCAGCCCCTTTAGTATATACCAGGTGCATACCCAGCCCCTCTAGTACACACCCAACCCCCCTAGTGCATGCCAGGTACATGCCCAGCTCCCCTAGTACACACCAGGTACACACCTAGTCCCCCCAGTGCATGCCAGGGCACACCCAGCTCCCCTGGGGAACACTGGGTGCACACCCAGCCCGTCTAGTCCATACCAGGTGCGTATCTAGTACACACCAGATCCCTTTGCTGGAGGGCAGAGGCACGTCCAGTCCCACTGTGCATACACCAGGCATCTGCCCATTTCCTCTAGTTCCCACTAGGCCCTCGGCCCTGCCCCAGTCCTCCCCTCCACAGTCTGCTGCCAGCTCCTCTAGTGCCACCTACACCCTGCGTTGTGTCATGTGGTTCACTTGTCCCACTCTGCATCTGCACCAGAGACAGAAGGGGCAGCCAACGTGGCCTGTTTCCAGGGTGTGCAGGCTGAGACTACTCAAGTCCAAGGACAGGGTTGCTGGGGCTCCCAGGTCCGGGCTCAGACCATGTTGCTGTTGTCGAGGTCCCTGTGGGCTCCACTCTGCCTTCTACTATGTTGGCTTCTGTCTCAGAGCTAGGGCCATAAGCTTGCAATGCTGTCCCACCACACCTTGGGGTGTTGATTGGCCACGTGACCACCCAATCAGTCACCAGAGCCAGGCGAAGGAGATGCATGGATTAGCTGAGTCTGGGTCATCCACTCAGCTGACCCATCCATGTGTCAGTTTCCTTGTCTGTAAATTGGGGATGATTATGGCAGCCACCCCACAGGGTCTGTGTTGGAATTAAATGGGTTAAAACGCGTATCGTGTGTAGAACGTCACCTGGCACATAGCGATGGAGTCAGCCATCGTTGTCATTTGTGATTATTATTCTCCGCATGGTGAACTTTACTCATCCTTCAGTACCCAACTTGAATGTCACCCGTATTTTCCCTCCCACCCTGTTGTCAGTAAGCTTGCTGTCTGGGTCACGCCCCTGTGTCTCCAGCAGGTCCCTCAGGCCTCTGATTCCCGTTACCTTGCATTTCTGCCTGAACCACGTCTCTTGCAGGAGAAAATGCACAAGCTCTTAGAGGTAAACGAGCAACTGGGCGGGGAGGAGGACATTGTCAACCCGGCCAATGAGCTGATCAAGGAAGGCCACATCCAGAAGCTGTCAGCCAAGAACGGCACGGCCCAGGACCGCCACCTCTTTCTGGTGAGCCCAGCCCTGCCGCAGAGCCTCCCTCACCTCTGCCCTTGAGCCCTGGCACTGAGGCAGGGCTCTGGCTGCCCAAGAACATGGCTCTTCTGTGGCCTCTCCTACTGTGACTGCTGCAGCCCTCTGAGACCCCCAGGACGCCCCCCAGCCCCCGCAAAGATACACAGAGCCTAGTTCCTCCTCATCCAGACACCAAAGCTTTGTTTGTGGCTCTGCCCCGTTTGCTGCAAACATCTCACGTTTTCATCCCTCCCAGCCCATGTCCCTGTGCTCCTTAACCTGCCTCCTCCGGAACTGAGCAGCCTCCAACTTGCAACCACCAGAGAGTTTAGAGAACGGTAGCAGCTTTCATGATTTCGACTTTCCCAGAATCAAACCCTGGCCTACAGGGAGGGAAAAAACACAAGAAGGGGCACAATGAGAATCCACGCCGGGTGCCACGGGGCAGTAGGAATAAACGCGCTCTTTCTCCCCTCTTTCATTTTCCTCTAGCTTCTGCTCTTCTCAAATAAGAAGTTATTTCATTGAAAGTTTTTTTCCAACGTTTTAAAAATTTGCATTGAGTAAGACCCACTTTTGCTAGACAGTTCTGAGTTTTGACAAATGCGGTCGTCGCAAGCACAATCAAATTACAGAACAGTTCGTTCAGCCCCACCCAGGCTCCCTTGTCCTGACCCTTCGTGGTTTAGCACCGCCCTCCCCGACAGCTCCTGTCCCTGGTGCCATTGCTATGTCCTGTTTCTATAATTTTGCCTTTTCCAGAAGGCCACATCAGCGCCATGAGATGAGTCTGGCTTCTCTCGCTCGACATGTGCGCTTGAGAGCTTCATCCCAGCTGCTGCATGTGCCAGCAGCTCATTCGAAAGTTTTGTTTTTTATCACACAATTAGCCCGTGTTCATGGTTGAGAAATTAAAAAATAGAAATTGGACAAACATATAGCTAGCTGTGTGGCCTCCGCACTCACGGTTCTTACCACATCAAAATTGCCACCCACATCTTTTTAAATATAGTTTTCACTTTATATGACATTAAAGGAAAACTTAAAAGGGTCCCGTGTGAGGAGCGCAGCAGGGCCTCTGTGGGTGACCTGCCAGGCAGCTCCCGTCCCTGATGGGCCTGTCCCCCTCACAGTTCAACAGCATGGTCCTGTACTGCGTGCCCAAGCTGCGGCTCAAGGGCCAGAAGTTCAGTGTCCGGGAGAAGATGGACATCTCAGGCCTCCAGGTCAGTGAGCCCCTCCCTCCCAAACATGCCCCCCGGGTGGGGCATCAAGCAGGGGTGGGGACACCAGGGCTCCGGCCACCTCCGGCTCACCACTGTGCAGCCTACCGCCCCCGCCCGCCTCTCCGAGCTGCCCACTACCAGCGATTAAGGCATTGCTGGAACATCGTCTCGGCCCTGGTCTCCTGGGCCACGTGGGCAGGATCTCCCTCTCTCTGCTCGGCCCACCTGCCAGGACACTGCCGCCTCGTGCTTGAAGGATGGGGCCGAGAGAGTAGGCTGTTGGGAACTAAAGTGTGCAGCTTTGGGGTTGCGGGGGTGGGGGAGGTGAAGGGAGCCAGGATCTCGGCTGACCTCTGTCACCTGTGAGGCTGGGACTCAGGGCCCCATGTACAGACCCTGCCTGGACCCCATGTCCAGAGCTCTCTCCTCTCTCGCACCATCTCGAAACTAGGAAGAGGTTTTGCAGACGCCAATGTGGTGCCGTCCAGAACGACCTCTGTCTTTACCGTCCCCCTGTTCTGTGAGCCTGTTCTGTGACCTGTCCCATGTCTCATGGTGGTGGGGCTGGGGCACGGGGGGCTGAAAGGATCACTGTCCCCTGTGGAGAAGGCTTTGCGTTAACAGGTGCTCCAAAAGTACTGGTTCAATCTAAGTATTTAATCATTTCAACAAGTAAAGTTTTGCTTATATGACACCAAAAACCCCTTCTTACTTTGAAATTCTCTGAACTCAGGTTAAGAAATACCATTAAAAGTAATGACTAAATGGGGCCGGCCCGGTGGCGCACTGGATAAGTGCGCTGCTTGGGAAGCGCGGCGGCGCTCCCGCCCGAGGGTTCGGATCCCACATACAGACCGGTTCCCGCTCACTGGCTGAGCGAGGCGCGGGAGCAACGCCGAGGGTTGCGGTCCCGTTGCCGGTCCCCGGTCCGGTACGGGGGCAACACTGAGGGTTGCGATCCGTTTCTGGACACGGAAAAAGACAAAAGACAAAAAAAAAAAAAAAAAGTAATGACTAAAGAAAAAATACTTTTTTCCATTGTTATTAGAAACCATTTTTTAGTGTTTTTCTATCAGAAATCAGCCATATTTTAATAATTTGATGTGTTAATGCAGAAGTTCTCAACGTGTGGGGTGGGAAAATCTGGAAGTTCCAGGCAGGGTCCAGGGTTTGTATTTCCCTCAAGCCGCTGGCCGGCCCGTTTCGTGGTTCTGACAGGGGTCGGCCCAAGGACCACCGGGAGCCACCAGACCTGCCAGCGTGTTCTCTGCTCTTGTCCTGATGGAAGAGGACGTAATGTGACACTGCAGTTCTATGAAGAAAGGACCCTATTTCATTGATTCTGGGCTCACGTTTTTCTATTTAAGTGTCTAAACTCAGGATGCACCTGCCCTGGGGAGCTCAGACGTCTACAGGGTGGCTGAGGCCCTCCTTGTCCCTCTCATAAGATCCTCATCCCTCCAAAGGGGACACGGTGGCTGCGGGGACGTAGTGCGGTCGTGGGGATAGGTTGGCTCCATGGGGCTGGCTGGGAGTGACTTCGGGGGGGGGGGGTCTGATGGGCCAGTGGGTTTGGCCAGCAGAGTTCCCAGCACAGAGGATGAGAGGTTCCAGCACTGTCTGGGCAGGATGAGTGGCCCACTGTCCCCCATGGACCGGCTCATGCAGTGCTGGCCCCCAGCCACCGTGTCCCTGAGCCTCAATGCTCCCCTTCCTATAGACCCAAGGGCTGCTGGGCCACCTCTCCTCCTCCTCAGGAAAATGCTTCCAAGTCAGAAAACATGAGGCTAGGGTCGGCCTGGTGGCGCACTTGGTAGAGTGTGGCGCTTGGGAGTGTGGCGGCGCTCCCGCCGAGGGTTCGGATCCCATATAGAGACCGGTCCGCTCACTGGTTGAGCGCAGTGCGGGTGCGACACCGAGGGTTGCGATCCCATTGCCAGTCCCGGTGCGGGCGCGACACCGAGGGTTGCGATCCCATTACTGGTCATGATAAAAAAAAAAAGACAAAAAAAGGAAAAAAAAGAAAACATGAGGCTGGAGTTTAGGACCCGCTAAAATGACTGGCTTGTTTTTGTTTATGTTTTGTTCTTGGTCCTTATCCCTTCAGGTGCAGGATATTGTCAAGCCAAACCCAGGACACACGTTCATCATCACAGGGAGAAAAAGATCCCTGGAGCTGCAGACTCGGTATGGCACAGGCTGTCTATAGCATCTGCACCATGCGAATGTCTTTGACCTAGCATTTTAGCAGATGGCTTCTTTTTCTAAACTGGATAACCTCGTGATATGTTTTTATGTACTCATTTACTCATGGTTTAAAGTTTAACTGTATCAAGGGGAAGTCAGTGGAAATTAAGCTTCTGCCCACCTCCTGTGCCCTGGGCTGAGCAGACATTCTTAACCATGTCTTAAGTGTCCTTCCAGGATTTTCTATGCACATAGGTAGATGTCTACTTTTTAATTGCAGGCGGCTGTTTACTGTACATACAGCCTGTTGAGCATCTTGTTTTTCTCACAGAATCTATCAGGAACCACCGCACATCTGTGCATCATTTCCTACAGCAGCGTCATTCCCCATCGTGATCATTAACCAGCTCCCACTGACTCTTGCTGTTGCAAATGGCCCTGCAAGCAGTGTGCTCAGACCCATGTAGTTGTTTGTGCCTGTGTGTTGTTACATACGTCAGGTAGATTCCTGACGTAGAAGTGCTGGTCGAAGGGTAGTATGTCTTTTATAGTCTGGCGGGTGTTGTCACACTACCCTGTGACGTGATGCCAGGCCTGTGCTCTGACTGGCAGTGTGTGGAAGGTCCGTTCTTCCACATCCCACCAACAATGTGAGAGCTTTGTAGCGACCCGTTATGGCCCAGGGGGACGTTGCCTTATATTTACTGCAGAGGGTTGTGCGCGGCACACCTGGCCCCAGCAGGCCATGCCTGACCGTGCCTGGCTACATCTGATCACACAGGGCCCCACCTGGCCACGAGTGTTTGGGGGCCGGTTTTCCTCCAGAGCTGAGAGCAGCTGGTGGTTTAGAGTCAGCATCCAAGACTGGATGAATAAAATACTTTTTGTTTTTATAGGACAGAAGAAGAGAAGAAAGAATGGATTCAGGTGAAGTTTCTAAAGTTTTAAAGTAATCAGATGACCAAGTTATGGAGCAGTATGGCCATTTGTGTTGGAGCAGAGAGAGAGGGTGACCCGTGACCACCCTGCACTCTTGCCCTGCGTCCTGCCCTGCCATCAGGCAGTGACCGTGCTGTGCTTCACACCCACCTTCACATGCCACAAACCTTTCAATCCTTCGCTTGAGTCCCCCACCCCCATAAATACATAAACATAAACAGGCCTGCAGGGGCCACAGGCTAGGTGTCCTCTCCCTGGGGCAGATCTCCGTCTAGACGTCAGGAGGAAATGAGACGACCAGGCAGTGTTCCACGAACTCCAGGGCCCCATCCTGAGGACAGAGGCAGGCACGTCCCCCTCACAGGCTTGTGTCCTGCCACGCTCCCTGACGGGCCCTTCTGCCGTGCTGTGTTCAGGTCATCCAGGCCACCATCGAGAAGCACAAGCAGAACAGTGAGACCTTCAAGGCCTTCAGCGGGACCTTCAGCCAGGACGAGGACCCCGGCCTCCCCCCAGACCCGCCTGTGAGTCACAGTCCACGTTGGTTGTGGAGGGACCTTGAGGGGTTGTGGCTGCCTGCAAGGGGCAGAGGGGCAGGTATCTGGGTGGGAAGCTCAGCCCCCCAGCACTTTCCTCATGCTGGGGCCAGGGACCAGGGCAGCGGGTGGACGGTGACACGCATTCACCTACCCACCCTTCACTTAGCACTGGTGCAGCCTGCTGGGCCCCAGGGCTGTGCTGTCAGTGCCCGGGCAGGCAGGGAGGCAGGACACGGGCGTGGAGCAAGCGCTCCTGTGCCAGCCGTCAGCGGGGCAGCCCTGCGCACGGAGGCGTCTCCTGTGGAAACTGAGTTTCAGAGAAGCTCGGTGACGTGCCCAGGCCACGGGCCACTCTGGTGGGCTCAGGGCATCCAGTAACTGTGGGCACCTTTTTGTGACTGTATTTCCTCCCCAGTGCCCCTGTGACCCAGGAGACATCGGTTCAGAGCCCCTTATGGGGAGCAGTGGGGGCAGCGCCTTCTCCATCCCTGAGCAGAGCCACCCTGCGGGTCCCGTGGGGATTCCACGTGGAGACCGGGGTCATGCAAGAGGCATGGCAGCTGGGTCCCCACCAAGGAGCCAGCAGGGGAGTCAGGGCTATAGTGCTGGGGGCCCAGCCCAGTCATTCCTCCCGTTTTGGCTTCCATGGATTCAGGAGAGAGGATCAGAAGAAAAGCCAGTCTCTGCCTGCTGCGAGGGAAGCCCTGGAGGGGCTGGTCCCGGGCAGTGCTGGGGGCAGCGCTGGGGCCGCAGCGAGGACACACCCAGGAGAGATGCCCAGGAAAGACCATGCCCTGGTCCCCGTGCTGGGCCCTTGCTCCAGCAAGGAAGACGCTGAGCACGGCTGTTGTTAAGTTGACCGAGCCCATTCTGGCCAGAGGCTAAGCTGGCCGCTGCCCTCCATTTAGAAAGTTGGGGCAGCAGAGACTGTCACAAAGATCCCTGATGGATGAGGAGAGAATCGTCACTGTGCGACTTGGAGTGTCTCAGAGCCTCCCCAGCAGGGGCGCCACGGGAGGCGTCACTACCAGCCGCCCACCACTGGGCAGTGCTCATCTCACGAGACGCTTCACGTACAGATGGGCCCAGCGAGGGGAGCAGCCTCCCCAAGACCACAGCAAATACTAGACCTTAATTCCCTTTCCCGCATCTTCCCTCAACACACGGGGTGCTGGGGTTTTGTGAAATGTCCCCTGCTGCATTGGATGTGCCAATCGCCCGGGGACCCTCCTCTCACTCAGGCTCTGTGCCCCTTCCAGGTGGTGAGTGCAAGCTCCATGGAGTCCACAGGGGCAGCTGATGGCGGCAGGAGTGCCACAGGGGTGAGTGACCCACACCTGCGGCTGGAGGGGCTGGAGGTGGAGGGCAGGGGTCAGGGAGTCAGCCTGCCCTCCCACCATGCGACTCATGCCCGGGGTGTGTCTGAGGCCAGGGCCTGGTGACGGGTCCTGGCTGTGGTCACTGCTGGTGGCTCTCAACAGAAGCACGCGGGAGCCTGTGGGTGTGGGGAAGTCTGCAGTCTGGGGTGGGCGGTGGCCACACGGCTTTGCACGTTGGGTAAGGCTTCTCTGAGCTCCAGGTGAATGGTTGTGGTCCTCCTGTGTGTAAATTAGGCCTTGTCAAAGCATGTATCAGTGTGGGGCAGGTCCTTGGGAGGCTCAGTAATGCAGAGACCCTCACCCTGAGACCTCACCTGGAGCCGCAGTCAGGGAGGCCTGGGCTTCCTCCCCTCTCTTCAACCACATTCTCGTCCAACTTAAGACAGCGCAGCCCAGGAAGGCACAGCTTGGGGCAGGTAGGCTGTGTCCACGTGCCCACCTGGGATTTGCTGTGAAACCTTGGATGAGGCCCTTCTCCTCTGTTTAATGCGGGAGCCTATATAAGATGCAGCACGTGTGAACCTGTTGCATAGTGAGCGTCGGTACCCAGAGCCACTGTCATTAGCCATCAGGCCTAACACTGACAGTGACATGTAGCCCTGGACCACCCTGGTGCGGCTACTTTCTCAAGCACATCTCCCAGGCACTTCTCTTAGTCCCGTGCTCTCCAGACTCAGGAGGAAGTAGGTGGCGCTCACCTGGGTCGTCTGCCCCAAGCCCCACCCAGACATGGGGTCTGCTTCTCCCACTGGGTCTCCAGAGCACCGCCTTGGGGGCAGGGCCCCACACTCTCTCCTGCAAGCCTGCCTCCCTTCCCTCGAGTTCTGTCTCTGTTTCTGTCTGTCTCTCCATCTGTCTCTGTCTCTGTCTCTCATCCGTCTTACACACACATGCACACACACGCATGCACACACACACATGCACACACACATGCGCACACACGCATGCACACACACACATGCACACACACATGCACACACACATGCACACACACGCATGCACACACACACGCACACACACCAGTGCCAGTGCTCCGCCTTGGGCGCGTGTGTGCCCAGCTAGATGAGGCATAGAACAGCTGATGACTCAGCCTGAACTTAACCACCAACCCTAGACTTCTCTACATACAAACATTGCCCTGTTAGGTTATCACAGCTATTCTGGGATTCTTGTTATGGCCAAACCCATTTTATGGGGGAAGAAACTGGCTCAGGGCAGCGAGGTAAGTGGGCCTTGAACAAGGGGAGAAGGAAGGCATAGGGAGAGGGCTGTCCCCTGGATGGGAGTGGAGCGTGGGGCTGAGCGGACAGGTGACTGCCCCTGCACCTCCACCTGTCTCACTGTCACAGGGAGGAAGCGTCCCTGATGTGATCTCCATCTTTAGTAGGAAGACATCAGCCCCTCCTCCCGCCACCCTCCACACACCTGAGTGGGACAGTGTTGAGCCCGGCAGCAGCAGGTCTATTCAGTGGGCCTGATGGTGGCTGCCACCCCCTCCCCTCTGACCTAAGCTTGACCAGGTCCCACCAGCCGTGTCCCTGGCCTGACCAGGTGTTGGGAAACCTCCAGGAAACTCGTGAGGCTTCAGGGAAAGCTTAAGTGTTTCAGGAGCAGGAGGGAGTGCAGTGGGGACAGGAGGGACTTCAAAATAAATACCAAATGGGCAAGAAGAGAGCCCCTTATCCAGGGGTGCTGCTGCCTGGCCTCCCTCTGCCCTTAGGGTAAATTTTGTTAAAACTGAGTCAGGAAGTGTGGACATGGCACAGGCGGCCTGGGGTGAGCCGTCTCATCACCGTCTAAACTCCCCAAGTGCTTCCTGCCTCTCGGCCTGTCTGGCGTCCCCCTGCTTCCTGCCCACCCTCCCCACGATGTCCAGGCCTCCCCTTCTCCATGAGGCCCTGGGGCCTTGGCACCTGCTGTCTGCTCTGCCCAAGTCAATGAACCCCTGCGGCCTGACCCAGGGGCATGAATCAGCCCATCAGCAACTTTCTGAGCTGCCAAACCGTGCGCGTGAGGCTGGTCCTATCCCAGACTGCACAGGCCCTCTTCTGGAGCATTTAGGGACGTTATGAAAAGCAGCACGCACTCACGGGTGTGAGAGCTGCCCAGCGTGGTCGTGGCAGGGACTCTGCAGCAAGCACCCATGTGCGTGAGGTGCTCCCCAACCAGCCCCACGTCCCTGACAACCTCCACGATGATGCCCTGGCTGGAGCACTGCCTCCCACCCAGGCAGCTCAGATGGAGAGCCAAGCTGGACACTGCATGGTGACTCTGCATCACCTGGCCCTCGGCCCTGGGATGGGCCTGTGGAGTCGTCAGTGGTCGCTGTCCCCTCCAGGCACCATGAGAGCCACCCATTCTTTGTCGTGCATTTCTCCCAGGGGAGAGCCCGCAGGCCCTGGAGACTGGACACACCCTCAGTGCCCCAGGGACGCAGGGAAGCAGAAGTGGGAGGGCCACGTGGTCAGGGAGGCCCCGGCAGGAAGGACCTGGGCTGCTTGTAGGAAAAGCAGGAGCCTGGGGCTGCCCGAGGGGGTTACCACAAGGTGTCTGTGTGAGGGCAGGGGACCCATGGTAGAGACTAACAGGATCAGTGCCCAGATCAGAGAATGTTCTACACAGAAGGAACCTGAAAGGCCTTGTTTGAACCTGTGGAGAGACAGAGGCTCGGAGTTGGTCCTGGAGGGAGGCTTGGAAAAGAGCCACCTCTGGAGCTGCACTTTGCCTGGGCTGGGAGACTGGAGAAGCTGAGGCAGATGCCTGCGGGCCCCACAGACGCTGCTCCTGTTTGCCACCCACCTCCTTAGATGGGCGAGGAGGTCACTGGGAGCCCCTGAGGCTCAGGGCTTTGGTCCGTGTCCAGGGGTCCGCCCGGGCCAGCAGGCCCGCTGGGCCGCGATGGCCGCACTCGGCTGGGGGACGCCCGGTCTGCCCGCTTGCTTTGCCTGCTCCTGCCCCGGGGCTCAGCTCTCCGTGGGTTCTGCAGTGTCCATGGCAGCTGGGTGCTTGGGTCACAAGTCTAGTTCTGGTCTCCTTGTTGGAACAAGCCCGGGCAGTGCCTGAAACCTTGGCCCGTGTCCGTGTGGACTCCCGCTGCTGGGTTTCCCACATCTGATATGACACATGCAGTTTCATCAGGGCCACTGATGAGGGTCCAGCTCTGTCTTACTGAGCTGTCATCCTAGTTCCCTGACGTTCAGATGAATTCGCTGAATAGAAAATGCTGAGGGAACAGCCCCGTGGCCCTCGGTGGAGACCACTTTCTCGGTCAATGTTGGCACATTTTGGGCACTTTGGGGTGGAGTCGCTCTGCCGGTTATCGTGGAAGCTGCATCCTCCATCTTCCTGGAAAGACTTGGACCTGGCCTTTCCCATATCCCAACATCCACACACAAAACCTGAGCCAACTTCAGGTCAACCTGCCTGACAACCTCATGCAAAAAGGGAGGCCTGTCCCTAGCCACAGAGGTAGGCTCTGTGCCCTCAGCCACCTGGTCACCTGCTGTCTACAAATCCAGCTGGACCTCAGTGCTGGGGGAACGGGCCTGGTCAGGGGCAGAGCCACATCAAAGTGAGCCATGCTGGGCTCCGAACCTCAGCACCGTGGGAGCTGGTGCAGGACTGGGACTCACCCCTCTGAGGGCTTGGTTCAGCCTGGCTTCTGCCGACCCTGGGAAGACTTGCCTGACAAAGGAAGCCTGTGGGACCCTTGGTGCTGACCCCAGCCCTGAGCCCCCTCCCCGCTGCAGACCCTCTGTCTCGTTGGCTGCAACTGGATTCCCACTGGTCCTCGGACTGACACAGGTCCGATTGCAGCCTTTGCTCCACCCTGCATGGGTCGGCCTTGGCTCCTCCAGCCCCCTGCCTGTCCTTTCTCCACGGGGATGCCCTGACAGCTCACCCCCGCCCCGCAGCCTCCTGCATTCTCAGCCACAAGCAGTGCTGTCATGAGCGCCATGGCAGGAGTCCCTGAGAGTTAGTGGTTCTGCCCTTGGGACAAGGCACAAGACAGGCCACCCTGCCGCCAACCACTCCCTACATACATTATGTTTTTTCCTATACATACATTCCTATGACAGAGTTTAATTTATGAATTAGGCACAGTAAGAGATTAACAACAGTAACTAATAATAAAATAGAACCATGATCACAGCAGGCCAGCAACACTACTCTTTGCTTTGGGGCATTATGAAGTACAATAAGGGTTACTCAAACACGAGCACTGCCATACCAGACAGTCGGTCTGATAGTGGAGATTGCTGCCAAGTGGCTAACAGGCAGGTGGCATACGCAGCGTGGAAACACTGGACAAAGGAAGGATTCACGTCCCGGGTGGGACGGAGGGGAATGGTGCAGGATATTATCACACTGCTCAGGTGCAATTTAAAAGTTATAAATTGTTTACTTCTGGAATTTTCCATTTAATATTTTCAGACCAGAGTTGACTGCATGTAACTGAAACAGCAGAAAGGGAAGCCGTGGATAAGTGGGGAATACTGTACTCCAAACGGGGCTGCTGAGACAGCAGGCATTTACTTTCTCCCAGTAACAGAAGCTGGAAGTCCAAGATCAAGATGTGGGTGGGGCTGGATTGCTCTGAGGCCTCTCTGCCTGCCTTGTAGACGGCTGTCTCCTGCCCGAGTCCTCACATGGTCATCACTCTGCGAGTCTGTGACCTCATCTCCTCTTTTTATAAGGACAAGAGTTGTATTGGGTCAGGGCCCACCCATATGACCTCATTTTACCTTAATCACTTCTTTAAAGGTCCTGCCTCCAAACACAGCCACATGCTGAGGTCCTGGGGGTTAGGGCTTCAACGTAGGAATTTGGGGTCACAGTGTAGCCCATCCCAGCCTCCAATGCTCAAGACGCTGAGCCAGCCCTTCCTGGCTTCCTCAGCCTCAGCCAGCTCACCTCCCTCTCCCAAACCTGCAATGTTTACGTTAAACATATTTTTAGCTTATTTTGTTCCACTTTTTTTTTTTTTTCCCCTTTTTGTCTTTTCTCGTGACTGGTAACAGGATCGCAACCCTCGGTGTCACGCCCGCACCGCGCTCAACCAGTGAGCGGACCGGTCGCTATATGGGATCCGAACCCTCGGCGGGAGCGCCGCCACACTCCCAAGCACCGCACTCAACCGAGTGCGCCACCGGGCCGGCCCTTTGTTCCACTTTTTATGTTGGCAGTTTTGGACCCACACAAGTAGGGGTGACCAGTGCAGCGAGCCCCTTCCCTCCCAGCCTCAAGTAGCTTCAACTTTGTGCTCTTTTATTTTCTCTGCAACCCGTCCCACTACACACACACTTATTTTTCTGTAATTTTTCTTTTTTTCTTTTTTTTCCTTTTTGTCTTTTTTTACTGACTGGCAACGGGATCACAACCCTCGGTGTTGCGCCCACACCGCGCTCAGCCAGTGAGCAGGAACCGGTCTCCACATGGGATCCGAACCCTTGGCGGGAGCGCCACCACGCTCCCAAGCGGCGCACTCTCCAGTGAGCCACCGGGCCGGCCCATTCTGTAATACTTTAAAACAAATCCAAGACTTCATTTTATTTTGTTCAGAAATACTAATAGTAAGCTTATATTAGGTGTTTTCCTTTTAAACAGAAAAGTGATGTCTCTGGGCCTTAGTTTCCCCATCCGTGCACTGGAAAGGTTGAGATAAACATTCCCAGTGGCTGCTCCAGCTCTGACATCCTGGGGAATTTGATAAACATCTTTGGCGTTTCTTAAAATCTTCACAACTGTGTTTTCTGTGTCAGCTCCAGGGACCCTTGAGGGTGGCTGCTGGCTGGGAGGCCTGGCCTCCTCCCCAGACAGGAAACTGGGGGTGGGGGAGTTTCAAAAGCACAGGAAGCTGTTGCGTCACCTGATGGGGCACTTCCGGGGGGGGGTTGTTGCAGGCCATAGTAGTGAGAAAACTGTAGTCAGCAACTTGCCAAAACCAGTCAGGACTTCGTGTGTTGTAATGAGGCTCAGGGCCCAGGGAAGCATCATTTACCCCATTTCACAGATGAAGAAGTTGAGGCTCAGAGAGGAGAAGTGATGAGGAGCAGGACAGGAATCTGAGGTCTGTCCCCTACTGTGCACTGCTCACAATGAGACAGGGAAACCGAGGCTTGGCTGAGTGGCCCCAGGCTGCATCTGCTCCTGCCCTCCACACCACCCTCCCCTGTGGGCAGTTCAGGCAGCACTGCAGGAGCCAGAGCAGTGAATCCCTGAGCCCAGCCTCAGCAATCTTCGGTGTGAAGGATGGCACTCAGGAGCTTGCAGCCTGCAGGACTTGGGCTGTGGGCATGGACACCCCAGTCCCCAATACTGGGCGGTCTCTCTGCAGACTGTGCCCACCCCAGTAAGCCCATTTTCCTCTTGCTTTGGCTCCCATCACTACTTTCTTAGATGCACCAGATAAAGTCATTGGCCAAATTGCTCCAAACATCAAAGTCTCAATCCACTTAAAATCTTACTGGAAGTGATGTGCTGGGGCAGCCTCTGGGTGTGGAATAGGGAAGGGGGCAGGTGACTCGGCTCTTAATACATTCCTTTCTGCATGGTTTGCTGTTTGCTCTGGGCATGCATTGCTCCTATCATCACTGGAGTGGCCCCTCCATGCCACCCCCCTCCACGGAAAAGGGCGATGCACAGCTGGGAAGCTGACAGCAGCTACTTGCCTCCTGTAGCTTGACTCCAGAAAACTATCCTCTAAGACCAGACGTGACAAGGAGAAGCAAAGCTGTAAGAGCTGTGGTGAGACCTTCAACTCCATCACCAAGAGGAGACACCACTGCAAGCTGTGTGGGTCGGTGAGTCCCAGGCAAGAGGGAGGGCCACAGCTCAGACGGGTCAGGCGGCAGGTGGCAGAGTGTGCCAGCTGGGTTCTCACCTGCAGCATCACTTGAGGACCCGTCCATGCACACGACCATGGTGGCCTCTCTGAGAAACCCACACCCACCCTGCAAGGTGCTTCCAGATCCCATCTCACAGTGCAGGTGCCCTGGAGCAGGAAATGGTCCCATCGGAGGTAGAAGCTAATCACATTCTTCTCGTCAGCTCTGGTGTGCACCGAGCACCCCTTGCAGTTGAAAGAGTGCTAGATTCAGAGCCACAGAGCCCCTCACTGGTGTCTTTGAGAACCAGCGGATGATAGTGACCTCGTGCCATGAGAGATGCAAAAGAGATGGGGAAGTTGAAGGGTGTGGCTGTGGTGGGAGCTCCACCTGCTGGCCCTGGCTCTCCATTGGTGCCAGAGGCCTGGCGGCCCGTGTGCCGAGGTGCCACCTCGGACTAGTTCCTCCAGTGCATGCCATCATTCCTCCTCCCTCTCCCCAAAGCCTCTTCTCCTGACAATGGTCTGCTGAGTCATTGCTTAATACTGAACATAAAAGTGTCCCTGAAGAAGACTGATGATTCAGGTATTTCTAGGTTACAGTATTAAAACTGAATCTATGTCAGCAAGTGGATCTCAGCATAGAGCTGCCTTGGAGCTGTCTTTCCAAAGGGCACCAGTAGCTTGTGCCTGGGCTCGTTCCTTGTCTCTCCCTTTCATAAAGCCTTACCATACTGTTGGGGGGCTGGGGAGAGGAGAGAGGAATAGATGGGTGAGTCCTTGGAATGGACGATTGATGGATGGATGGATGGATGGGTGGATAGGTGAATGAATGGATGAGTGGATGGGTGAATGAATGGATGAGTGGATGGGTGAATGAATGGATGGGTGGTTGGGTGAATGAATGGATGGGTGGTATGGGTGGATGGGTGGATGGGTGGATGGGTGGATGGGTGGATGGGTGGATGGGTGGATGGGTGGATGGGTGGATGGGTGGATGGGTGGATGGGTGGATGGGTGGATGGGTGGATGGGTGGATGGGTGGATGGGTGGATGGGTGGATGGGTGGATGGGTGGATGGGTGGATGGGTGGATGGGTGGATGGGTGGATGGATGGATGGATGGGTGGATGGAGGGGTGGATGGGTGGATGGGTGGATGGGTGGATGGATGGGTGGATGGAGGGGTGGATGGGTGGATGGATGGATGGGTAGATGGGTGGGTGGATGGAGGGGTGGATGGATGGGTAGATGGATGGGTGGATGGGTGGATGGATGGGTGGATGGAGGGGTGGATGGAGGGGTGGATGGATGGGTAGATGGTTGGGTGGATGGGTGGATGGATGGATGGGTAGATGGTTGGGTGGATGGGTGGATGGATGGATGGGTAGATGGGTGGGTGGATGGGTGAATGGATGGATGGGTGGATGGGTGGATGGGTGGATGGATGGATGGGTAGATGGATGGGTGGATGATGGATGGGTGGACAGGCAGATGGGTGAGGCAATCTATGCCTCTTAGAGAACTCCCAGTTTGGGGCCCAGTTAGCACTCTCTAAGATTGGGGGGTTTAACTCACCCTGATTTTGTCATTTGACTTGAGTGGAATCTGTTGCTTTAATTTAAGACCCATCCTGAGAACATATGCCCAAGCCCCTGCTCAGCACAGGCTCCAGGCTTTGTCAGTACTTGGGATCAGAAGCTCCAGGCTCTGCTAATGTTCCCTGCAGTCAGCGTTCTCATGGCCAGCCTGGTCCTCACCACCCAGCAGAGGAGGCTTTGGGCCCTCAGTGATGTTACTTCTTCTCCACACCCTCCCACTGGTTTGGTTTTCGTTGCCTTGGTTTGCCCAGCTTTCCTGCTTCCTCATACAGGAAGCGGTAAAACAGAAATTCTGAGTATAAAATCCCCTTAAAACTGAGACCCCAAGAGAGGGTGACTTCATCTACTTAAAGAGAATAATCTCTGGGCTGAGCCCGTGGCGCACTCGGATGAGTGCAGCGCTGGGAGCGCAGCGATGCTCCTGCCGCGGGTTCAGATCCCATATAGGGATGGCCGGTGCGCTCACTGGCTGAGCGCGGTGTGGGCGACACCAAGTCAAGGGTTGTGATCCCCTTACCGATCACAAAAAAGACAAAAAAAAAAAAAAAGAGAGAGAATAATCTCCTTCCAGTGCAGCTCCTGCAGCCTGTGCTATGAGTCTTGCTGTCCTAACGCCACGTCCCACAACAACAGCGCCCACAGGATTAGGTTCAAACTAGAATCTCAAAAGGTTTAAAGCAAGACTTCCAGGTTGTCTGCAACACTCAGCAGGTGGGCAGGAGGCCAGGGCCCCATCCGCCCCCACACCAGTTCTTCCCCCATGAATTCACAAATACCTCACCACCACCCCGTTTTACAGATGAGGAAATTGAGGCTCCGGATAAGTAAATGATCACAGTCACACAGCTGTGGTCAAGTGCCATGTCTGAGCCTAGCCCCCAACTCATGCAGCAGCAGCCTTCAGGGCTCCTCTGGCTAGGGGCCGGCAGCCTCTCCCAGCCTGGGGAAGTCAGGGAAGGCTTCCTGGAGGAGCTGGCATTCCACATCTGTGCCAACACTTGTTATTTCCTGGGGTCTGTTAAATAAGAGCCATCCTGAGGTGTGGGGTGGTTTCTTGTTCGGGTCATGATCTGCGCTTCCCTGATGACCATGCTGTGGAGTCTTCTCCTGTGTGTGGTGGCTCCTCCCACTCTTCGTTCCCTGCACAGACCCCTTGTCACCCAACCCCCAGGCGAGGAGGGCAGGTCCTGAACACCCAGCAGGGGCAGCCTCCTCTCTGCCCTCAGAAGGGCTCCCACCACCCCCACTGCCACCCCAGCAGAAGCCCTTGCCCCTCCACACGCTGTGTTACTTCTCTCCTCCCCCCAGCCCCCAGCGCCTCTCCTTCCAGCCTCTCCCTGGACAGCCCTCTGTCCCTGTGAGGTGGGGTCACAGGTGCTCTCTGTCTTGCAGGTCATCTGTGGGAAGTGCTCCGAGTTCAAGGCCGAGAACAGCAGGCAGAGCCGCATGTGTAGAGAGTGCTTCCTGATGCAGCCAGGGTCCCCTGCAAGCCCCAGCCCTGCGGCTCCTGCTGATCCCAAGCAGAGCACAGAGGTGGGTGGTCCTGGCTCCTGTGCCCCTCGGGGTGGCACAGCGGAACCTCTGGGACGTGTGCCCACACAGGTTCAGCTGCCTCTGCTCCAGAGCTTCCCTGGGACCAGGACAGATGGGGGTGGGTCTCAGTGGGGTTCCAGGCCCTGGGAACCAGAGATAGCCACTGGGAACAGCCAACAATTAAATGTAGAACATCACGGGCTTCTCAGGACCAGTCAGGGCCGGGGCTTGGGAACTATTTGTGCCCAGGAGTTAGATGGAAACAAGTGTCAGTTCCACTTTGGGTCACCCTGATGGAGGGGGCAGCTTGGAACTGTCCCCAAGTCCAGGCCCTGAGACCCACTGGAGGGAAGACGCTCCCTGTGCCATGGCCTGGCACACTTCCAGTGGGCAGAGGGCAGGCAGGGCCCTGGAGGCGGGCGGGGCCGGGGCACCAGCCACCTGCTCCCCACCTCTCCCTGCTCTTTCTGAGGGTGGCCCTGCTTTCTGACCCTCCTTCATCAAGGGAACAGTCACTATTTCATGGGCTCACAGGAAAGATGGAAAAGAGAAAACATGGCATCCAAAAGGGAAAGCGCATTTCCCCTTCTCTCCACTTGACACAGCCTGAGGTTCTCGCTGCCACCCGCACACTGGGTCTCCCGGGAGCTCTGTAACGTGCTTTCCCTCCCGGAGCTTCAGTGGGGGGTCCGGGTGGGCTGGGCTCAGTCTGTTCTCCAAGCTCCCAGCTGTCGTGACTCAGCTGTGGTTGGAGCCCTGATCTGGGTCTCGGTCCTCTCAGAAGGGCAGCACGGAAGATCAGGACCGAGTCACAGCGATCTCAGTGGCAAAGCCCCTGCCCGGCCCGCGCGGGTTCCTCACGCCTGCATTTTAAGTACTGAGGAGTGCTCTGGGAGCCAAGGGCTGTGGGCTGCAGGGGTGTGTGCCTACAGGGCAATTGGGGTGGGCTTTGGCCTCGGAGGACCCCCAGGTCTGAGCGGGGACCAGCTCCAGCAGGTGGTGCCTGAGCCACATCTAGATGTCCCAGGGAAGTTATCTCCATAATAGCCCTGAAACATGTCCCAGAGAGGGAAGGTCTGTTGTGTGTGTGAGTGTACGGTACGAGGGTACTTCAAAAAGTGTGTGGAAAAATAGAATTAAAAGATAATATGAACCTACAAATTTTTGAAGTGCCCTCGTGTGTGGGGGGGGGGTGCGCTGTACGTGGGGTGTGTGCATGCATGTGGTGTGTAGTGTGTGGTGCGTGTGGTGTGTGGTGCATGGTGTGTGTACAACTGAAACTCATGCAGTCCCTTCGCCCCTGACCCCCAACCAGGCACTTGCCATTGGACCTTCTCTGTTATTTCTGACCCGCACATGGTTTCGTGGCCCCCAGAGGGTCCAGCCTGCAAACCTGCCTGACACCATGTGGGCCCTGTGCCCCACGGGCCTGGCCTCCAGTGATCCCGGGAACCTGGTGATGCTGGTCCAGGCCTTGGCTTTGTCTCCAGGCCTTGGCCCTGCCCCAGCCTCCTCAGGACAGAGAGTGATCAGTGCGGGTGAGATTGCCCCTAACCTGTGCCTCTGTGTCCCCAGAAGCCGCCCACTGCTGACCCCCAGCCCAGCCTGCTGTGTGGCCCCTTGCAGCTGCTGGGCACTGGTGAGGCCTACAGTAAGGTGTGGGCCACCATCCCCACCTCAGACCCCCAGGTGCTGCACCCACAGGGAGACAACCAGGTGGGTGTCCCACCCCTAGGCCTGTGCTGGGTGGTCCACCCTCCTCCAGCAGCCCAGAGCCTCAGGCCTGAGCCATCTGTCTGGGACTGACGTGGGGCCTCAGTTTCCCCAGCGGCCCAGAATCACCCTCTGCTCCCCACTCATAGGAGCCAGGACCTAGTGATGCCAGGACCCAGAGCCACCCATGGTGCAAGGAGGGGCGGGGGGGACACAAAGGGCTGGTCCCTCCTTCCCCACATGACATTTATTCACTCGCCCCTCATTCATTAGCACATCCTGGGTAAGGCAGGAGCTGCAGAACCTGCCAACTCATCTCAGGGACCCACATAGCCCCTCACTTGGCCCCTTTCAGCCCCAGTTGCTGCCTGCCCATGTCACAGGGGCTTGTCCTTCCCTCCGTGAGGCTGGGTGGTCCAAGGGAGGTCATGGGACCTGGGGGGATCTATAGGGGGGAAAGGGTGTCCTCTTCCCCACATCCTCCTTTGAGGACAGCTGGTGGGCCATCTGTCTCCTGCTGACTGGGCCAGAGTGGGCATGGCCACCAGGCCTGTGGAAGTGGCCACCTGGGAGGGGCCATCTTCCCTGGGGTGAGCCGAGGCCGGGGAACTGGGCTCCGCTGACCCCCTGCTCCTCTGCTGCAGGATGGCCAGCCACCTACCATCCCTCTCCCCGACAACATGGTGAGCGTGCTGGGCCCTGAGCAGAGGCTGGACTCGGGCGTGTGTGGAAGCTGCAGCGAGCCCACCAGTCTGGGAACCTGAGCAGCCCCTCCACGGAGCTGCAGCGGTGATGCTGGAGGCCCTGAGCACCGCTGCCCACAAGGACACAGCCCAGGACAGCCCAAGGTCCTGCAGCCCCAGGCCCCAGCTGCTCCGTGAGCTGAGCCTCTCACTGCCCTTCGCACTTCCAGGTTAAGGTTCTGCTTTCCTGGGATACGGTGACAGAGGCCACAAGAAGCACGTTGGGGACTGCTGAGGGTGGGCCGATGGCTTGGGACACGTGGCCCTGGAAGATCCCTCCACTTCAGAGAGCAGGAAACTAAGGCCCAGAAAGGGGCAGCTACCTGCCCAGGGTCATTCAGCAAGTCTTGGCCAAGAGCCCAGCAGTGGGGGTGGGAACAGGGGAGCAAGGGCCAGCTGCCAAAGTAAACATCATCCCAGTGGGCTGTGCAGGGGCACCAGCTCCAAAAGGCAAGAGAAGGTGACTGGGACACTGCCTGGGAGCAGCCAAATCCTGCCCAGTTGATGGACGTCTGCAGTGCCCAGGGTCAGGCAGAGCCTTGTGCAGTCCGCCCTGGGCTTTGCCCATCCTGTCTATACCATGAGAGCTGACCCGTGACTTGCTTCCCCTGGATCCACCTCCCTTCTCTGCCCTCTCCTGAGGCTCTGCCCCCCACGCCCACCACTCCCGCTGAGCCACCCACCCCCATCCAGGCTGGACCATGGCTCTTGAGAAACCACACTCAAAAACTGTACCAGGAGACCCAGCCCAGCCACGTGTGGCAGTGTGTGCGATCTGTGGCTGTCCCCTTTGTGGGGAGTCCAGTGCTTACCTGCATAAATAAATGCTGGCTGCCAGCAGGCGGGCACAGCCTCACGTGTTCTGCCTGGCCGGCCCCTCACACAAGGCAGCCGGCTGCTGTTGGGGTGGGACCGCTCCGAGCTTCAGGGGCCACCCATCTGGCTGGAGAGCAGTTCTGCACTGTGCTCCTGCCTGTGGGGGGCAGGCAGCCGGGCCACGTCGAAGATGAAGACGGCCAGGCTGAGGGGGGGGGGTGCCAGGCACTGTGGGGGGCACCTTATGAAGGTTATGGGGATGGGGGACTGTTTGCACCAGAGCCCTGAGGGACTCTGAGAGAAAGTGGGGGGATTTAGGGGCCAATGATGAGGGGGTCCAGTCCCTCAGGACCCCTACTCCTTTAACATCCACATGGTACCATGTGGTGACACCTGGGCAGATTCATGGGGCACCTATCTGGGGCACCTAGAGGGCAGACATGGGAGCTGGAAATGAGAAACTGGCCACAGGTGAGTAGAAAGGTAGAGGTGAGGTGGGGGATGAGAGGTGAGATGGGGGCACAGATGAGGTAGAGGCACAGGTAAGGAAGGAGGGAACAGGTGAGGTGGGGGCACAGGAGAGGTGGCACAGGTGAGGTGAGGAACAGGTGAGGTGGGGGCACAGGTGAGGTGAGGAACAGGTGAGGTGGGGAACAGGTGAGGTGAGAAACAGGAGAGGTGAGAAACAGGTGAGGTGGGGAACAGGTGAGGTGAGGAACAGGTGAGGTGGGGAACAGGTGAGGTGTGGCACAGGTGAGGTGGGGCACAGGTGAGGTGGGGGCACAGGTGGAGGTGGGGAACAGGTGAGGTGGGGGCACAGGTGAGGTGGGGAACAGGTGAGGTGGGGGCACAGGTGAGGTGGGGAACAGGTGAGGTGGGGGCACAGGTGAGGTGGGGAACAGGTGAGGTGGGGGCACAGGTGAGGTGGGGAACAGGTGAGGTGGGGGCACAGGTGAGGTGGGGAACAGGTGAGGTGGGGGCACAGGTGAGGTGGGGAACAGGTGAGGTGGGGGCACAGGTGAGGTGGGGAACAGGTGAGGTGGGGGCACAGGTGAGGTGGGGAACAGGTGAGGTGGGGGCACAGGTGAGGTGGGGAACAGGTGAGGTGGGGGCACAGGTGAGGTGGGGAACAGGTGAGGTGGGGGCACAGGTGAGGTGGGGAACAGGTGAGGTGGGGGCACAGGTGAGGTGGGGAACAGGTGAGGTGGGGGCACAGGTGAGGTGGGGAACAGGTGAGGTGGGGGCACAGGTGAGGTGGGGAACAGGTGAGGTGGGGGCACAGGTGAGGTGGGGAACAGGTGAGGTGGGGGCACAGGTGAGGTGGGGAACAGGTGAGGTGGGGGCACAGGTGAGGTGGGGAACAGGTGAGGTGGGGGCACAGGTGAGGTGGGGAACAGGTGAGGTGGGGGCACAGGTGAGGTGGGGAACAGGTGAGGTGGGGGCACAGGTGAGGTGGGGAACAGGTGAGGTGGGGGCACAGGTGAGGTGGGGAACAGGTGAGGTGGGGGCACAGGTGAGGTGGGGAACAGGTGAGGTGGGGGCACAGGTGAGGTGGGGAACAGGTGAGGTGGGGGCACAGGTGAGGTGGGGAACAGGTGAGGTGGGGGCACAGGTGAGGTGGGGAACAGGTGAGGTGGGGGCACAGGTGAGGTGGGGAACAGGTGAGGTGGGGGCACAGGTGAGGTGGGGAACAGGTGAGGTGGGGGCACAGGTGAGGTGGGGAACAGGTGAGGTGGGGGCACAGGTGAGGTGGGGAACAGGTGAAGGTGAGGAACAGGTGAGGTGGGGAACAGGTGAGGTGGGGGCACAGGTGAGGTGGGGAACAGGTGAGGTGCGGGCACAGGTGAGGTGGGGAACAGGTGAGGTGGGGGCTGGTGATGTGGGGCACAAGTGAGGTGAGGGAACAGGTCAAGTGGGAGTGCACAGGTGAGATGGGGTCGGGCACAGGTGAGGGGGGCACAGGGGCACTTCTGCAAGAGCCAGCTGGGCTGCTTTTGGGATGCCACCGCAGCCACAGCATAGGGAGCCCCTGCTGCATAGCTGGGCCTCACCCCAGGCTTCCCATGCTGTCCAGTCCCGCTCCACACTGAGGGAACTGAGGCTCAGTGAGGCAAAGTGACCTGAGCACTTCCATACTGGACTGTGCCCACTGGGGTGGGACAGAGGCAGCTGGTCCAGCTCCGGCTACTGCTCAAGAAAATGCCACAAAGCCCCTGGCCCAGCTCGACTGGGGCGGGCACGGTGGGTGCAGGAGGCGTGAGGGGCTGCCCGCCGGTCCTGCCCTTCCCGTCAGACCTCAGCTCCGACTCACGCCTGCTCACCTGCAGGCCCGCCCCGAGCCCTCGAGCCCACGCCTTGCTCACACATCACTACCTGCCACCGCCCCAATGTGGCTCTTTTTAAGGACTGGCACTGGTGCTCTGTCCTCTGCCTGCTCCAGTAGCTCCATTCCTGCCATCTCACCACAACCGCAGGAAGATCCCACTTGACAGCTGAAGAAACTGAGTCACAGACAAAAGAACCATGTGTGTCCCACAGTTCCATAAGTACGTGGGGAGCTGGAACTGGCCCACAGGGCCCAGTGTCTCCAGCAGGGACAGCAGTCTGCAGGGGCCCAGAGACTGTACTGTGGGGTCCCCCCAGCGGGTCCCCTAGCCCCGATTCCTCTGCTTTCCCACCCACCGGCCTGGCTGGGTTCCCCACACGCAGAATGTCCCAGTGACCACAGGGGGCTTCCTTCCTTTGCTCAGCACACTGTAGGGGGTGGGGGCTGTGAACAGAGGAGAAGCAGGCAGGCTTGGAGGTCTCAACAAAGTCTGTCAGCTGCAGTGGGACAGGTGGAGGTGGAGATGGAGACAGGGCCCCTCGTCCCCACAGGTTCACAACAGATGCAGACCCTGCTGCGGGGGAGCAGAGGGTGGGCAGAGGCCGGTGGCCTTGGTGATGTGAGGAGCCTCAACCACTGTTCCTGCCCAGGTGTGGGCCTGCGTGGGCCCTTGTGGCCAGAGCTTCCAGCTTTTTCTAGAGATGAAAGAACTCCAGATGTTCTTGTGAAATATCCTGATAAATGTTAGCAACTGCTGCGGAGTCTGAAATCATGGTGGCCCCAACCAACCCTGGGTGGGCGGCCAGCACGGCCCCAGAAGGAGAGTTCACTGGGAAGCACAGCCAGGCACTGAGGGGCGTTTGGCTCCACGTCACCGCAGACGTCGGGCAAGGTGTGCTCCAGACTCTGTCAACTGTTGCAGGGACCCGCCAGATGCTGGTCATCCCAAATCTGAGCCAAGTCACAGCTCACCCCTTGGCCCTACTCCTGCTCACACTGCCAGGGCCAGGGCACAGGCCACTGAGCATCTGTGCAGCAGCGGAGCTGCCGCTTGCTGGACGCAGGCTGGCTCCTGGCCTCTTCGCCATCCTTGCTGCTCTTCCTCTTCCTCAAGGCCAGCCCCCAACCCCCACAGGCACGGGAGGACGCCACTGGGCTGGGCAGGGAGGGGACTCCTAGGATCTCTGGGCATGAAGAAGGTGGGAAGGAACAGAACAGGGTCTGGGGTGCCTGATTGCCACAGGAGCCGGGGCTGGGTGTGCCCCCCGGGGCTGCTGCCTGCCCAGCCTGCAGGCTGAGGGCTCCCGGTCCCAGCCCAGGGGCTGAGGTTGCACTGCGCAGAAAGGTTTTCCCAGGTGCAAGAATGGAAGAAAAGAAGAGAGAACAAGGCAGAGCAGCGTGAACAGCCTCTCGGCAGAGGTTCTTGTGTCATTGTGGGTACCAGGAGCAACTGCCCCACCAGGCACACTGGCCCCACCAGGCTGGGGGGGCGGTGCTGGCTGCATCTCCTGCAGTCCTGGGGGAGAGGAATGAGCCCCACAAGGGCCTGTCCACAGTTGTAAAACGGAGGCCCAGAGAGGGGAATACACTTGCCTCAGGTCACACAGTGAGTTGGGGCCAGCTGGGCTCCACTCACTCACTGTGCATCCATTTGTTCACACGCCAGGCTCTGCTGGCACACCTCCTAGGCCCCACCCCCTGAGTGCCCGGTCCAGTGGGGAAGCCAGTGCCCTGAATGCCACTTGCATTTCTGGGACCAGTGGATGGACAGCACCTGTAGCCCCTGGCCCTGCCACACTTCCAGCCTTGTTTTCTCCTGCCCCCTATCACCAGGTTCTAATCACCGTGCTTCAGGCCAGCCTCACCCCAGGGCCTTTGCATGCCCTGCTCTCGGTGCCTGGGGGCTCTTCCCACAGGTCCCTGTGTGGCCGCCTCCTCAGCACCCGACTGCTCACGTGCTGCCTCCACACGGAGCCCTCGCTCCACAGCCTCCCCGCCTTTTTGTTTAACTATTTACTCTCCTGTTTAAACCT